CAAAACCTAAAACCGCAGGAACGTCATACTCGTAAAAACCGAGAAAAATTATCGTAAAAAATAATATCAAAAAAATAAATAAAAAGACAAACCCATAACCGTTGGATCATTTTTTAAATAATTTATTTTACGCCAGCAGTGTCTACACCGAACGCTCTCAAGTGTTGGTGTAACGCTGACTCGCATTGTTATTCATTATAATATTACAAAATGACTTAATTAAAGACCGAAAACCGGCATTATAAGTCAGAAAAAATACACAGCCTCCGTCTCCGGACCGCTTGTGTTCTGTCCCTCTCGCGCACGCACTAAAACATCCCCCGTCCCTTTTCGCGCCAGACGAACTTGTAAATTGTTCTTTTTACCGAACGCCCGGCTCAGAAGGGCTTACACAACTTTGGAGGCGCAAATAATAAACTTTATTAGCTTTCGCTTAAGATACATATTAAAAGCTGAGGTAAACTTTTGTATCCTTTAAGACAGTGTAGAGCTGATCAAGTTATCTCCCTCAGACAAAACAAAATACAGCACAAGTCCTTTGAGCTTTCGAGTTTAGTTGCTTTACCGCGATTGCTTTTTGTAGCCCCGTCCCTTTTCTTGGTGGATTTCATTCGTAACGCAAACGAGTTCAGTATTAAATCCTTACTATTGACATTGTCGACGGATAACGACCTTATTTTGTTATTGGAGAGAGTTGATTTTCTATTGTTTTCTTTGGAGTCATCGTTGTTTATAATGTTTTCGTGAAGATGTAACTGTCACGTTCTATCGATGCGATGCCTTTTTGTTTCTGCATTGGGACATGCTATGCACTCAAATCGTACGTTACTTATCGTATAGATGCGTTTCGAGTAACTAATACATGATTCATCTCACCTTTTGCGAGAGACGCGGATTCACGCACTGTGTGTTGACATCGACATTCCATTGTAAGTGACTGAATGTAGGGTGCGTGTCTACGCTTTTTGCCTTAATGTATCGCTTCTGTAGCGCCTAGTTACATCTCAATCGGCAGTATTACTGATACATATCTAAATAATGATAATGGTTGATGCTTTTGTTAATTGTGACATTCATATCTAAAGAAAATTATTTCAATCAATTTATCTTAAAATCATTACTCTGGTTGTAAAACAAATACAATTTATGTTTGATGATATGAATAGTTTCGACCAAGGAGATATTTACTCGTACATTCCTCCGATTAAAAATGAATTTTGTATTGTTTTCTTGAATATAATTAACTCAGGATCACTCCGGACCACTCAGGACCACTACCATCAGATGTTAAGTATGATTTGGGACTAAACATTGAGGTAGTTGGTAGAATTTTTTTAAAATTTACACTTTATAATCTAATCACTTTCTACTCGTTTAATGGGGCTGTTTTTCCAGCGTATACAAATATGTATACATATTTATGTTGCACTATTCGACAATGGATATCTCCCAAAATATAAACACTTATTCTTCTAAATCTAGTCTGTAATAATATTGATATTATCTCGCAGACAAGGCGAGGATAGCTTTCTTTAAGTTTGGATTCCACTTTCATATGTTAGGAATGATCAACATCTGATTTCAGATTCTGATCTCTTGATTTCGTATCCGATTCCTTAGATTTTACCATAATATTTTACTTCTCTAGACGTTTAAGTTTAAATGTAAACTAACTTAATTGATGACGCCGTTTTGCGTGGATAAGTTATATACGACCTCAACTTTGAGAATAATATTGTAAGGAATTACTATTTTTTGAAGACGGCTTAGCTTAGCTTAATTTTAATTTTGACTAGAATGGCTATATATTATCAATTTGTAGGTTTAAAGACAATTGGTGATCTATCACACAAATAAAATACTTTTTATTAAACTTCAAGAAAGGGTCAAAAATTCATCGCCACAAAAACTAGTCCAGCTCCTGTGTGACCAATGAATACTTGTGAGGGTTCCCAGAGATTCCGTGTTGTCGCTGAGGCAAACATTGGCTCGGTCGGTAGTCGGTACAGCAAACAGTTCTGATGAGTGTTGACCAACCACTTTACAAATAGATAATTATTTGGACCGTCTGAAGACAATGCGTTTACTTATGCATGAGTTTAGTTAGAATGCATTGGGGAATGCAGTGCTTTGTTTCATTGGTAATGGTCCAATAGTTCTCTACAGTGCTCGGTTCAGTAAAATCACTAAAATCAAATATAAGATTGTTTTCTACAACTTGTGCTGAAGTCTGGTGGTATATGGTTTGAAAAGGTATTATGGAAACAATAACTGTCAAGATAAATGATAATAATAGAAAGCCATACTTCAAAGAATTTATATTTAAAATTGGAGGAAACATTATCCTTCCTACTGATGACTGCATGCAGATAATGTTATCATCAAGGTAGACAGAGCTCTTATAATCATGGAAACTTTGTGAGAGATGTCCATGACTAAAAATATTTATGAACAGAATCTTCATTAGCCAGTCGTTTAACGCAGCAACTTGTCCCTTCTTTATTAAAACTTCAAAAGTACTGTCTTCATCGAACTCATGATAAAGCAACAATATAGGTATTAATATTTTCTTCACAATTATAGTGATTACGGGTTTTGTGGAATATTATCAATTCATGATTTACCTTTTCGATCACCTACCCGATCGGAATTTGTGTAAGTAATTCACCTCTTTAACTTTTTGGGGCATTCAAATCTCCTCACTCTGTCTATAAGAAGCATATCCAGTAATTTATACTTATATTAAAAATCTGAAGAGTTTGTTTGTTTGAACGCACTTATCTCAAAAACTTCTGATTTAAATTGAAAAGTTCTTTTTGTGTTGGATAGTCCATTTATCGAGGAAGGCAATAGTCCACTGAGTTAGTAATCACTCCAGTTACAGGCTACATAACATCAAGATAGCCAATATCTCGCCTGACTGGCAATTATAATAATTATTTTAATGGTATTGATATATCTGTAAATAAGATTAGCTCTTTTAAGAAATCCATCAAAAATAGGTTAGATGAAATAAATAAACATTAAAATAAATAAGTAATTTGCTTAGACCTTGACTAGATAGCATAAGATTATTATATTTTTTCTCTTTTTTTGAAAACTCTCAATTTAGTTATTAAATTGTGGTTAATGGTGTTGGCTTCACAATTATTAAGATAAATTTTACATTTACTAAAAACTAATATACATTGTGAAACTGTTGGTTTGACCCCAATAACAGAAAAAATAAGATAAGAACAATAGAGGAGAAGCATTAATGAAGAATGTTGCAAAAACGGAGGAAAAATATTAGTTTTCAGAGCTTTCGTTGCGTATGCTGCGTAAACGGTTAAAGTTACGCAAAAGACATGTATGACGGAATTGTTACTCCTTAGTAGTTCTAAAAAAAGTCCGCGACATCGTTATGTCAATCTTTTGTAAACCTGACTCATTTTAATATATTTTTCTGACATCCATGCGAACGAAGTCGCGGGAACAGCTAGTAAAATAATAAAAATTTACTTGAATCATCGTGTTTGAAATTAACAAGCTTCCTGCAATGTTATTACCGTATCTTTTTAAGGTAATTAAATTGTTATATTGTTATCTTAACTTTCATACCGTTAGAGCTCCTCAGATTATAATATTTTTATATTCAAAAATAATAGTTTTTTTGGCAGTTTCGTTAGATAAGCTAGTCATTTATAAAGCTTCCCAGATAAATTATGTCTCGGAGCTCTGTATATATTTTGATTACCTCTGGAATAGTGACTTCAAATATTTAATTAATGAAATGAGTTTACGCATTTGAAGAGGTTCTGTTTTAATTACAACCTGATAAGTTTGAAGGATTTATTATTTTATTTATTCAAGCTTTTTTTTTGTCTGTTACGACTCCTATTTGAGTTTGAAAAGCTTATTACCTGACCTCAGAATTTTTAAATAAAAGATTTACCTAACTAGCTGACGGCGATTTTTTAATAACAGGCCATAGAATAAATATTTTTAAATAAAAGATGTACCTAACTACCTGACGGTGAGATTTTAGAGCTTATTAACAGGCCTCAGAATAAATATTTTTAAATAAAAGATGTACCTAACTAGCTGACGGTGATATTTTAGAGCTTATTAACAGGCCTCAGAATAAATATTTTTGAATAAAAGATGTACCTAACTAGCAAAAGGTGAGATTTTAGAGCTACTAACAGGCCTCACAATAAATATTTTTAAATAAAAGATGAATCTGACTACCTGTCGTTACAACCAATAACTATGCATGCTCTGCATTAACCAACTCCCAATACAAACCACTGGGTCTAGAGGACATATTTTTGCATAAAAAACCTAATTATCAATTAACGACGAAATAAGTGGCTAGGTACTAAAAGGGTTTTATTTTTCATCAAATGACCAGGGGGCCAATCATCTAAAGGGATTGCTATGGCTATCGCCATCGCTTACGATTTCATTTTATTTTTTTTGAACGCCGAAGTTTTTGAAATGCCTCGCTCTCTTTTTTTTCTTTTGCATTGGTAATAACAATATTAAAGCAAATGAGCGTGAAGTATTTGAAAACCTTCGGCGGTCAGAAATAACAAATGAAATCATAAGCGATTGCGATAACAATAGCAATTCCGTTAGGCGATTAGCCCCCTGGTCTGCGAATATTACCGCAAGGGCTTTTTAGAATATTTTGGATATTTTCTTAATGATTTCATTCATGATGCCAAATAGTAAGTTGTGCCTCTGGTCTACTTATTTTCTTATAAATTCAAATTACCGGGTCAACTTTTAACTTAATTAAAAGCCTCAATTGATAATTGAGTTGTTAAAAATACATATATGCTAAATCCCCGTATAATAGCTGCATCTATCAAAACATCGAACCAAAAGCTTTTACAAAATAATAAATAGTTTATGCAAAACTTTGAATTTATTATTGTTTATGATAGTGCATCAGTCAGCGTAGCGTTGAGAAAATGCGATTAAGACATTATCTGGTTAGCACTATCCGCGCCAGACAGGGACGGAGCACAAATACGACTGCATATAATTTGTACGGAAATAACTTTCGGTGCGAGCGGGACGGCGCGATTGAAATGTCAGACTCGACGCGCGCATAATGAGAAAACGGCCGTCTCTTTCGCTCTTGACGTGTTACAATCGTTTATTGTCATGTTACTGTCTCGTTTCGACGGGCGAGATTGAGATGGAATTGCCAACGGCCGGACGAAGTCCTCCCGCTATTACTATATTCGATCCTCCCGCGGCGTGCGCGGACGTTGCTACGGAACCTCTTTTGTTTTCTTCGCGTAAACTCCCAAAAACATTCGTTATAATTTTGAAAATAGAAAAAAACACATAACAAGTGACTGCTGACAGTTCCAGTGAGTGTGCCAGTGACATTGAGCTTTTAGTAAAAAAAAAACAAAATATATTTTTAAAGTGTCAAAAAGTTCGTTTAAACAAATTGAGTAGTGAGCTTGTGTTGTGCCGCAGTTATTAAATGCGAATGGATTGCTACCGCAGCGGTGTAGTTGACACGATGGCTTGACAAATCGAGATAATTGACGGTAAGTTTGACCACAATTGAGCAATTAAGGGGTGAATTATATTCGGATTGTTTGTAAGTTCAATTTTAATATTTAGCAATCCGATTTTCGCGTTGTTATTTCAGATTGGGATTGACATAAGCTCTGGTTCTTGAATGAAAGCTTTTAACATGTGGCCGATGGTATGTTTTGTACCTGCTACAGCGGCTTGAGAAGGGGCTGGGTTTTTGTATGCTAAAAACAAAGAGATCCCATCGGACCACGGGGTGTCGTATGCCACAGTGCGGTCACGTTTTCAGCCTTTCCCGGGAAATGCTAGAGTTTGTTTTATCGTCTTTGGCTTGACGCGCACCTACTTTGCGTTTTTAATAAACTTGTAGATTTGTATTCAAGCCGTGTGTTACACGTTTGCTTAGAGGCGTAAAATTCATGAATGTTGCATGCGTGTAGGGTGCTACAATCATTAATTAATTAGGAATATTAAATAAGCATTACAAAATATTTTTTATAAAATAAACTTTTGAACAATTTGTTAAATTAGTTATTAAAACGCTATTTTTCATTTAACTGGAAAAATTCTGATTGACAAAATTCACTAAGAGAAATGAAAATGTGTTGGTTAAAGATCCTTATAATTTTTGTATTCTGTGTAAAATGAATTCTTAATATTTTTGATAATAACGTCAGTAAAGCTGGAATCAAACGCAAGATATTTAATTTATTTATTGTTAAATATAAACTATTGACAAATAAAAAAATCTAAACACATAAATAAATAGAATGCGATAATTTAACTCCAAAGAAATTATTTTATACTTAAGAGCAATGAAAACGTGTTGGTAATTATTTTGTACATACTCTGTGTAAAAATTGATTAAATATATTTTTAATAATGTAAATTTTCTAAATTAAAATTTAAAACAACGGTCAGTAGAATTATATTAAACATCCATTGAAATCGACTGAAATATCTTATCTAATAAATGAATCTAAGCCAAGGTCTGAAATGGGGGTCTGAAGTGTTTCATAAATTTTACTAGAAGTGTTAATTATAGTTATAATAATAATAACTATATTTGGAACCAGTTCATTGTACATACAATCATGAAACGTTAAATCTGCTATAGTTTTAAAAAACCGGTAAATGTGAATACAGTGTCCCTACCAATGTCTAAATAAAACTAACTGTATTTTTATTAGAAAGGAATTTAAAATGAGATAAAAAATATTCACAATTCACCATCCATCGAAGGTAACTTGAAAAACAAAACACATATTTCTGAGTGCATTTATATCAACATTGCAACAAAATAATACTGTAACCAGAAAACGAAAATAAGGACTAAAATTAAACATTTGATTATTATACTCACATTAGAAGCTAAAGACAGATAACACAAATCTATTAAAATTACAATATTATACCTACCAGGACACCACAAACCAATAAATCATGATCTAGAATAGTTAAATCCAATCCAAAAGATCCAATTTCATTAATATCAACATTATTATGATTTACTAATTAATGTAGATATAGCAAATGTAATACAAGATTTAGTTTGAAAAACGCAAGATGGATTCTTGAATAAAAAATCTAAGTTCCTCCTAGTTTTGAGACCGGATATGCCTATACCGTAAAATAACACTTACTGCAAGTCTCATTGTGTGTATTACTTTAATATGCAAATTTATTATAATTAAACGATTAGTAACATGGAAAAGCATATTCTAAATAATATCGTATACCAGTTATTTAAATATTTCAAAGTTATCGTATATCGCTACCTAAGAAGTATATTCCGTTTTATCTAACTGTGTGTTGGTCGGTCCTATCGCCTGAAATAATCTTATGAAATGGAAAAAAAATATGATTTTTCTGCTATAATGAAGATATTTCACCTTTGTGTATACAAAAGTTCAACTTTGCATATTAAGATGTCACAACATTTAATTCATTCAAGAAACGTACAAAATATGCCACATTCTCTTAATCATATTATATTAATACGTGAAAGATAAATTTTCAAATTCCTTTAGCACATTTTTTTACTCACAGTGAGAATGTGTGAAAAGTGTGAGAATTTATAATGTGCATGCATAATATAAGTTTATATCTACGAGTGCAGAAAGTTACATTATTATACACCATGAATTTTGAAATAAATGAGTAACTTAGCAATTGAATAAATTTAAATACTGTGTATTTGTTTCTTAGGATTTCACGCACATCACTCATTAAACTACTGTACTACACCCCCATACAAAAATAAAAATTTATATCGTTTACAAAATATCCTTTAAGCGGCGTTTATACTAATATGAAATTACACTTACAAAATTGCAATTACAAAAATGAAATGTACATGAGGAACTCGATGGCGCAAGTGGTTAGCAAGATCGGCTGCGATCGTTGAATTTAAGCAACTTTCGCAGTAGTCGGTCATTGGATGGGTGACCAAAAATCTTCTATCTCGAGTACCTCCGTGCTTCGGAAGGCACGTTAAGCCGTTGGTCCCGGCTGCATCTGCAGTCATTAGCACCCGCCAATCCGTATTGGGCCCGCGTGGTGGGTCATGGCCCTATCTCCCTATTCCATCCATAGGGAAGATCCATAGGAATTAAAGTTATTAAGGTTTCGTAACTGCACAATTGGTGAGTTAATGTTTGAATCATTTTCCGAAATAAATAATTAAAGATGTTTTTTGTGGATTTATAACCTAAATCGTTGTCTGAATTAGCTAGTTTTTCTCAGGTAACTCAAAATTCAGGGTGTATAATAATGCATTAGGTATATTATGTATAAATACAATAAGTTCATAAAATAAACATTAGACAATTTACCATGCGTTAGAAACACGTAATGACTTATGTAGTCAGCCCAATTTCGGTACTTTTTATTATTTATTATTTTTGTATTTTAAAACTGTTTCAATTCATTACTTTGAATTTATTTTCACATGCAATATTTTTATTCTAATCTTAGCATTATTATCCTCAGCAATGTAAACGAACGAAATAAGTATTTAATCATAAAAACGCATTATTTTTATTTAACATACACACATCAAAAAAATCTAAACAACGTGTATAATTTACACGAACTGCAAGTTTAATCAGTTGATATTTTATATTAAATTTATTAAAAAAAATAATAATTTAAGATGTAATTTATAATATACTATTTATAGTATTTATTAAATGTATTATTTATTTGAATAAATACGTACTAGTTCTTGCTTAGCCATTGTTAAATCAAATTGGTTATTATTATTAACAAAAGAACATAAGTATTAATTTATTTACAAATCGGTCAATAGTTCTAAAAAGTTCATATTTGTTGAACTCTTTGGACGAGTATATTTTTAATACAAAGTATTTTTTTATAAAAATAATAACTATATTGAGCATTCAAATTATTGCGTCCGTTTATAATAATAATCTTGAGTAAATTTTTAAACACATACTGATAATCGCAAAAGATAAGATTAACTTAAAACAAATCTATATTTAAATGTTTCTCGTGGTAATATAAAAGTAGAAATCTTTTACGACCGTAATAAAACTTAGCATTTAAGTATGAAATGCCTATAAAAGATCTGGTTTAATTAAAACCCTTGAGATGAAGCGACGGCTTTTAATACCATTGTTCATGGCATATAACTTTGCCATTTTAAGACTAGTCCGAGTCATACAAATGTTACTAGATTATTAACTAGTTTAAAAGACATAGATTCACGCCTTACAGGATATTATAATATTTCTCCTAGTATCAAAATGAAGATAGCCTATAGAAAACACTTTATAGGTCACAGCGGATTTTCCGCTCGATTTGGAGGGCCCGTCTTGGGAAGTAACCTCCACCATGTAATGAAATGAAATTTATTTATTCACACAAAAGAGAGTAGATACATTTTGGTGGTGATTTTCATTTAGTTCGTCCATTTTGCTAACGACAGGGCATGTGAATGTCAAACTTAATTTAATTGTGAAAAGGTACTTATGTCATTTTATTTATTCTATTCTAAGTAAATTTTCGCATCTAAATATTCTCTGAGTAAAAATATTTCGTTATTAGCCACGTTTTAAGCTTTCTTTTAAATATAGGCAAACTAAGCTCCGTTATCAAGCGTAGTAACTTATTATAGATTTTTATACAATTCGGATAGCAGTTTTTGAGTACAATTGACTACATTGAGTACGCATATTGGGCAACATCAATCTACCACGATTACAGAAGACCCCAGTAAGATAATACTATCATTTGGTGGTGTTGTGTTTCTGTCGATGAGTAAGGTTCCAGGGCTCCACGGGGTAGGTGACTGTGTCAGGGTGGCAACGGCGGCGGCGAGAGTGATATTTTTTAATATCGGAAGCGCCTATAGGCTATGATGGCCGACCGCTAAATATAAGGAGGGCCATACGCACGTTCGCCACCCATTTAATATAAAAAAAGTAATTTTGAAAGAAGATTTATTTGACGACCTCCGTGGCCGAGTGGTTTATACGCCGGGTTTCATGGTGACGCCGACTCGAGAGGTCCCGGGTTAGAATCCCGGTGGGGGTAGATGTTTGTGTGATGAATACGAGCATTAGTACTCCAGTCATGGATGTTTAATATGTATTTCTATATAAATATACTTATATATGTACAATATATGTATTCTATCCGTTACCCTAGTATCCCATAACACAAGCCTTGCAGTGCTTACTTTGGGGCTAGGCCTTAGAGCATTTACGACACGTGGTATATACTCAAAGGGCTAGGCTAATTGGTGTGAGTGTTGGAAATATTTATTATTATTATTATCTTATTATTATTTATGTAGTACAATATTAATTGTTCTTATATCCATTATCGAGATGATGCCATGCTTGGTATTCAGAATTAACTCGTCATCATTTACAACAACCACAGTTTCCTAAAGTATATGATCACTTTTTAGTGATCCTACTGGTAGTCGTATGAAACATCTACCTGAAATATTTTTCAGTTTGTCTGTTACGGGGGGTATAATGTT